CGGAGCTACGCCGTGGCGAGCCCGAAAACTTCTAGCACTCATCCCAGCGCGCCACTTGGAGGGCGGTTTCTCCAGGAGCCGTAGAATATTTAAAGGGGCGATGCAACAATTTTTGTACATTGCGCAAATACCGCTTAGAACGGATCCCTGACATTAATGACCTATGAAACACGCTTTCGTTTTTCACCGCATGCAATAGAAGTCCCAGAAAAAAAATGAAGAAAAACGAGCAGCGTTCACCCCCTCAACTCGCAGCCAGAACAAGCGGCCACGTGACCTGGAGCCGATTATATGCCGCCAATGTTGATCATAGCCACGCGCTGGGGTTGGCAAAGCACAGGGCACGCGCTGAGTTCCAGATATTGTTATGGCTCGGCTATTGTCGTCGTTGCAGCGATTGGACACGGGCCACTACCCGAATGCTTCTCGAGCTAGTAATTATCACGAGCCCAAATCGAGTGCCTACGCAATTCTCGGGTCCAATCAATGAACAGCATTCAAATATCGTCATATGGGTGTACTGCGATCCCCACGTTACGTCATCAAAATTTGCAAAGGAGAGATTGAATGAAAATGGTCACTTTTCTCCTCGAAATCACACCGCAACAAAGGAGTTTCTTGGCCAGTGGCGTTGCGTGCGAGTATCCTTGAGTTCAACTAGTCCCAGTAAGCTCGTGTAAAGCGAAAAACATTCCAACTGAATATCGTTGCATCGCTCCTTTAAACAGCAAAATAAAGTGTAGCTTTTTTTTTTTTTCGATTTGACCTACTATTGTTTTTTAATGCCGAAATTCCATACTGTAAATATACGTACTTTCCGTCACGATTTCGTACTGTTCAGTCCTTGCCCCAAGCGCAATCGCTCTCGGGGACGAGACAATTCCGACAGTCACATTGGCCACTGTACGATAGCGATAGGAGCTTCTACTGTTCAGGCCAGCGTTCCAACATGACTATCCGCACGTTGATCGATTGCACATAATTCCTCAAGGGGTATTAAACTTTTTAATGTAAAGCGGAATGTCAACCTGCGACACCTCGCCCCCTCCGATCACGGCCCGACCAACGGCATCAATGCCCGACAATTTACGATCTCATCTTGTTGTTACACCACTGATACGCGAACACACGGTCACATCGGCGATAATTCCAATCTTCTGTTCACAACCCACAACACTGTTATCACGATGATGCAGCTATGTTACTGACACGCACAAATACAGAACCACGTTGAACGCCGGTTGCACTCGGCATCGGAAAACAGAACCGAACTCAGGAAGGAAGGCACCCAGGCAGCCGGCAGCAAAACCTGCCTGTCTTGGACGCAGTTCCTGCGGTTTCCATAACGTCGAAAACGTCGACACAGCTCCGCGTGGTTTCGCTACTGTAGTGACTGTAGTTGCTGTAGTTCCGTGCCGCGCGAGGCCCGCAATCCGGAGATGGCCATCCCCCAGTGTACGTGGCGCTGCTGGCACTGCTCCGGAACTTCGCTGTTTCTAGCGGCTTCGTTTGCTCGTTTGATAAAATTAGTGATAAAAACGTCAATGCAACCGAAATGTTCTGCACGTTTAGACTAGAAGACGGAATTACAGGCGGCCTTCGCTGCCGCTGAAGCTCAATCAACTCAACAGCATTTATTAAACAACGTGCGCGACCTGCTCTAAAAACGAAAGCGAAAGAAGATGAGTCGGGAGGGCGAAAGCTTTATCCCGTCTGCCTAGAGAAGGAGAAAAACGTTTCGTTCCTCCACTTTTCTCGTGTCCGCTTGGGGGCGCGTCAGTAGAAGGGAGGAAGACGCGCCGTTGCTACTTTTTTCCTCCATTTTTTCTTAGAGTGTATATTTAAACAACAGAACAACGGATGGCTTTTTTTTGTTGTTGTTGATTTTACGTACTATGTTATGCCAAAATTCCGAACTGTAAATATACGCACGTTCTGCCACATATCCAGACTGTTCAGTCCTTCCCCCAGAGCGCAATCGCTCTCGGGGAGGAGAAAACAGAACATTGCAGACGACAGTCACATTGACCACTGTAGAATAGAAGCTACGGTTCAGGCCAGCGTTCCAACGTCACTCTCGGGGAGGAGACCACAGGACATCGCACGTGACAGTCACATTAGTCACTGTACAATAGGAGGTACGGGTCAAACCAGCGTTCCAACATGACTATCCGCAGGTCAATCGATTGCACTGTAATTTCTTAAGCGGTCTTAAATGTCAACCTGCGACACCCCGCCCCCTTCGATAACGGCCCGACCAGCGGCATCAATGCCAGACATTTCATCTTGCTGTGACACCACTGGTTCCAGTCTTCCTTCACAACGCACAGCACTGCCATCGCGATGTTGCTGCTATGTTGCTGACATGCAGGAATACAAAACAACGTTGATTGCCATCTGGCACTCGGCATCGAAAAACAGAACCGAGCTCGGCACAGAAGACACGCAGGCCGGCACGCGGCAGCGAAACCTGCCTGTCTTAAGCCTAGTTCAGACAGTTGCGTTTGACTGCGTTTGACTGCGTTGCGGCTGCTAGAAACCGGGACATTGCTTCTGCTTATATATCGCGTGCCAAGATGATTCCTTGAATTGGATTCCACGCTTCATTCGAAGCACAGATGTGCCGGTGACTCGCTTTCGGTTCTCGACGCAACGCAGTCAAACGCATTCAAACGCAAGTGTCTAAACCGGCCTTTAGACGCATGCAGTTTCCGCGATTTCCATAATGTCGCCAACGTCGACACGTCGTTCAGCATTGTTTTGCAAACCGGAGCCGGTCATCCTAGCTGCTGACACTGCTGCGGAACTTCGCTGTTTTTAACGGCTTCGTTTTCTCGAGTGACAAAAATTAGCGCAAAAACGTGAGTCCAACCGAGAATATTCTGCACGTTTGGAGGGGAGACGGAATTACAGGCGGCCTTCGCTGCCGCTGAAGTTCAATCAACTCAACATCTTTTTTTTTTTTTTTTTTTTTTCATTAGACAACGCGCGCGACGTGCTCGAAAAACGAAACCGAAAGAAGATGAGTCGGGAGGGCGGACCCTTTCTCCCGTCTGCCTGGAGAAGGAGAAAAACGTCTCGTTCCTCCCTTCTTTTTGTCTCCGCTTGGGGGCGCGTCAGTAGAAGGGAGGAAGACGCGCCGTTGCTCCCCTTTTCCTTCTTTTCTTTTTTCTTAGACTGTGCTGCGTAGCCCGCAGTCGCTCGCATAGCAGAAGCCTGTCCTAAGCATGATTGCTTCGTACATGCGCGCTTCGAACATGTCAAACAGTGTTTTCATGATCAATGTCACCATCATACCATCTTACCTAGGACAATGACTGCAGAATTTATCTTTTTTGTGATGTATTAGCAGTGTGACCTAGACTTTCAAGTGTACAGTTCCTTGAACCTCGTATAAGCTGTACGCCATAAATATCCGATAAAAGAAAAAAAAGGATGTCACAGATGTGTTTTATGAGAAGACCTCTAAAACAGGGACCGACAAAACAGTATATGGCGCAAACGAAGTTCCGAGCGCAGATGACAGTCGCAAATCCAGATGTGTGCAGCACGGCGGGTACGTTTAACGTACGTTGTTTAAAACGCTTCGGACGATTCACAAGCTTTCAGAACGGGGTGAGTCAAGTATACCTCGTTTATTTTGTATTCCTGATTGTTCGCTCACAGTACTTGTACTTATAGAGGCTTGGACAGTCCACGACAGCTAAAGAAACGATCGAGTTCCAAGCATTTAATTATTATTATTATTATTATTATTATTATTATTATTATTATTATTATTATTATTATAAGAACGCCAAAATCCCTAAGCAATAAGTATGATTATAATCCGCCCTGCGAAGGCTCTCTATAGGAGATTCCCTTTTCATGTAGACACATACTCTCTTCATGTGCGCGCTCAGCTCGCATAACGAATATAAAAGCGCAAACCAAACTTCCTAATCTAGAAAACAACTGGTGAAAAACAACAACAACAACTTGTGTATACGGTTGAAGTGCCGAGGGAAAACAATGTTCATATATATGTAAACTGCGTTTTTGGAACTCAAAATTTCGCAATCGCTTACGCACCGAGACTCATACCACGACTTCGGGCAAGAACGTCACTGATTGTCGCAATGATCACGTGATCGCTTTTGTCAGCCAATCTGAGCGAGGCACCGCAGCACGGTCCCCGCGGCCGTGCCTCGCTCCTCGAGGCATCTATTTCTTCAGAGGCGATTGTTTAAGCCGTCAACCATACCAACCAAACTTTCAGTTACGCACTGCTTCTCAGAACATATGCGCTCCAATCTTCAGATTGGTTATCTGACCGGCGAGAGGCTTCGCAAAACGTTTCCTCAATATACATTACTCAAGCCGTATAAAAGAAAAAGAATAACGTAGTCGTTATTGGGTAAGAAGAAAAGTAACGAATCACACGTAACACGTCAATCAGTACAAGCCAGAAGGTGTGAATTGCCTCGGTTTTAATCTTCGGTGAGCTCGAGGGAATCAAAGTTATGTGGAGTGCAAGTTCGTCTGCTTCTAGAACATGAGTTGCGGTGATTTCAGGACGACGCCGAGTTCTGATTGGCTTTGTTTGATAGGATAGCGGGTAGACCTCAATGCTCTGTTAACTATTTTTTTTTAATCAGCCAATAAGAGCTCGGCGTTCTGACATCATGACGACCTTTGTGCAAAAAGCAGACGAACTTGCGCTCTGCATAGTTCGCTTCGCACCAAGTCAGAGCGCAGCCGACGATCGATTCGATGGAGCCAATCAGCCAGCGTCAAAAACGCGTCGTCATCCTGCGCCTTTTCGATGCATGATTTGTTTGGCCAATGATAACTAACGCACAAAAGAAGAGTGCCGTAATGATGACCTTTTGATGCTTCTTAATCGGTTCTCGAATCGTCGCCTCTTCTTTGCAGAGACTTAACGTAAAACGCTGTGTGTGCATTCCGACTGTTAACACTAAGCCACCTGTTTTGTAACCCCTGTTCCAGACGTTTTCCACATGGCTGCCAACGTGTATCGGGTTATCGACGGTGTGAACCTCGTCAAAGTATTCTCCGAGGAGGCTGTACGGTCCGCCTTCAGGTACAAACCGCGACATGGAGACATCTTCAGCGCCAGTTACCCCAAGTGCGACTCCGACTGGCTGCAACACATTGTCTACAACATCCTAACAGCGGGCGTTTCTCCCGAGAGAAAGTTGGACTTCCGTTTCCGCATGCCATTCCTGGAGCTACAGGGCGCGGACGCCGCTACTCACGGTCTCAAGCCCGGAGCGCTCAAAACTCACCTACCGTTCCATAAGGTTCCATTCTCTGAAGATGCCAAGTACATTTACTCCGCCAGAAATCCGTACGACTGCTGCGTGGCCTTCTATCACCACACCGCCACTCTTCCCGTGTACGAGTTCGGGGACGGCAATTTTGACCAGTTCCTGGAGTTGTTCCTTCGTGGCCAGGTCGATTTTGGGGACTACTTCGATCATCTTCTTTCCTGGTACGAACATCGCGACGATTCCAACGTGCTGTTCCTAACGTTCGAGGCGCTTGAGAAGAACCTAAGATTTTATGTTCTGAAGATTGCCGACTTTGTGGGGGCGACCTATGGCGAGAAGCTTCGGAAAGATGCCGGTCTGCTGGACAGAGTCGTCAGTGTCTCAGACCTCGAGAGCATGACGAAGAGCGTTAATGCGAGGGCGCGAGAGTTGGCCGAATACGTTCCGTCCGATCGGGACTTGGAGGGTCTGCATCCTTCTCTGCTGAAAGGGCTCAACTCAACGAAAAGATTCGTGAAGAAGGCAGCGAGTGAGGAGCTTTTGCGCATGACTGCGACCGGGGACTGGAAGAACCATTTCACGGCAGAACAGGTTGTCCGTATGAAGGAGTGGATTGCAGAAAAGACGGACAACAGTAGCGTGATGCAGCTGTGGGATGGCGTTGACCTTCCACGCTGAATCAGATTGACCCGAAATTAAGTTTCATCTAAGACAGTCTTTTTTTCTTTTCTTTGAAATAGCGAACTATTTATTGACGCGAATGTCAGGCGAATGTAAGGCGAATGTAAATGTGAAAATAAATCTTTAATGAAGTGAACTTGTGCCTGGAACTCAAACTCTTAAACCGACGCAGACGGGTACCAAAACGAAAGCAGATTTGTACTCACCCAAAACGCGTGCACTCTCAAATGGTGGTGTATACGTACTATGCACTGAAGATAAGTTTTTGTTTAATGGGTAGACGATCTGTGTCATGGCTCCGATAGCCATGCTATCACTGTGGCAAAAGAAGGCAGGAGACCTTTTGTCACTGCGACCGCATCGACATTGAAGACGCATGGTACCGTGGTTGAACTGATTTAAGAAAGACCAATGATCACTGGTCCTACGTCATTAAGCTGCAGTCAGACTGCCCATTAGGTCATATAAAAGGTACGGTGTTCGTTACGGACACGATGACATTATCATCTGTGGACAGGTCTCAAGCATGCTCGAAGCCTCTTTCCTTCACACATTCAGGTATGCTTCCAACATGTCTGCAGGCAGTTCTTTAATGACCAATGGAAGAGGACAAACATACAAGGAAGAAACACGCCTCAGCCTGTGTCTGCAGACTGCCGTATATGTACGATGTATTCGACGGGTGACTGCGCGTTACAGTTCAGCCAGGGACATCTCGGTGAGTAACAAAACAGAGGCGGAATTGAAGGTATACGTTGCGTTTTATTATACCCTCGGCATCGCTACTCTGCTCACAGACAGATTCAGGGCGTCTCGGAATTTCCCGTAAATCAGAGAAATGAGCGCGCCCTGAACGCTTCTCTTGAGTTCTTCGTCGTACGCCTGCTGCCTCTTCTTGTTGAGGCCAAGACTTTTACCATGGACGATCCTGAAGTCCACGCCGCCGAGAGTAAGAGTCTTCAGAACGCCCGCTTGAGCTGCAGAATTGATCGAAGTTTAACAAGATGCAATACGATGTTAACCGGTAGCCAAAACAGGCTAGTATAGTTTACCCAAATCCGATGGATTTTAACACGCATCGCTGATGTGACGTACCCTCTTTTTTGTAGAGCATGCAACGGTACAATAATTACTCCCCGAGGGAAAGAAGTCTAGCCATTGTCGATGGCGGATTAACGTTTTCACGCAAAGATTAAGCAATACCAATAGATCGATTAACCTCCGCAGTCATAGACTCTGTATAAGCTTCCCGAATCAGTACTACGTTCAAATGGGCCTGCCGTCTCAGTGGTACAGGGTTGAACGCTTCTTTGCCATTGACACTGCAGGTATTACTACTTGGGTGCCATGCCCCCTAATTTTCTCATTCTCTAAACTTGCCGGTTCAGGTAAGACCGGTGATTGTTGTTTCCAAGTCATCGGAGGACTATATAGATAGACAAACCCAAACCCCTACGCGTTGTATAAAAAAAATACATAATTTACATGTGTAAAAGGAAGTAACCTAAATTTACATAGCAGGTCAGTACACATAAACAAACGCATACGGGCTGTGTAAAAGCGCGTCATCTACACACAAAAGAGAAAACAACAGAAGAGAACTCACGAGGCCAGCTGGTCACCTCCACGAAGACGTTGGTGTTCTGGACGTAGAGGTCCAGGTTGTACTTGGTCTTGATGCCGGCGAAGTTGTGGCCCTTAGCTTTGACCTCGTAGGACACCGAAACGCCGTCGAGGTTGACGTTGCACCCTACGGTCACGTTAGGTCCCTGGTAACCTGGAGCCGAGCAGTCGCCACGTCGTCGTAGGGCGGTGGACAGACCGTGAACGGCTCCGTTGCGAAGCTCTGCCTTGAGCTCGCGATTGGTGACGAAGGTCGACTTCACCTTGACTTTGAGCTCGGGCAGTGTGGCCGGATCGAGGTTTAGGGAGCGCACGTTGCCAGGGAGATGGTCCCTCAGGACGCTGTCGAGGTAGAGGTTCGAATCTTGAGGAGTGCCAGCAAGAGCTCCTGCAAACGAGATGTGAACAATCATTCGATTTATTTCTCTTTTGTGTTGACTTTTTTCCTAGTGCTGTTTGAGTCCTAATGTGAGGACTGAGAAATGACTACCAATTCTCACGCTGCTCAACGCCGACTGACCCCGCGCGCCCGCCCGTCATTCATCCATCTTTATTTTCTTCTTTCCATCTCACACATTCCCCCCCCCCCCCAACCCCTCAGGTGAGGGGCGCTTATCCACTGTCTGTCTGTTGCCGGCAGGTACGCAGGCATCGCGTACTGAATGAAAACTCCACGTTTTCAGAACTCAAGCACAAGTCCTTCGGACAGGTAGTCCAAGCTCCACGCCGCGTTCCACGCGGCGTAGTGTGCTTTCAGAGCCCCTCTGATTTGATACATCTCGTTTCTGTGGAAACACCAGAAGCCAAGGGGGAGTGGTGGAGTGGTTTGCACACGCGATATATATATATATGTATATATATATATAAGTGAAGTAACTTTAAAGCAATGGGTCGGGAGGAGTGATAGGTAAAAGAAGTGCTCTGCTGGGAAACTATTACAGCAAAGTTTATTACGGCATTTTGAGCGGGGAGCACTGACCTGATGAAGAGCGGTCCCCGTTCAAAACGGGGTAATAAACTTTGTTGTAGTAGTTTCCCAGCATAACACTCCTTTCATTTGTATGTATATATTTCAGGAGATTGCTGTTTTCTACCATATCCTATTTTTTTTAGCTTTTTCCCCTTTTTTATTTTTTGTTCTCCATTCTTACTTCATTTCCTTCTTTTGCGAAGTAGAAAATCCGCCCTAAATTTAGAGTGACAACTTCGTTTTTGTAAATAAACAATCCTTCTCTCTCTCACACACTCTCTCTTGTACGGTTTAGGCGTAAGCTCTATCGCGGCGAAACTCGATATTTTTATTTTTAAATGCCACAATTTTGTGCAGTGAGCACCAGATAATCTCAGGTTTTCAACCGTCTTGTCCACCTGCTTAATTTCGTGTTAATTCGTCCTAAGAAAGCAAATTCTCGGGCGTTTGCATTTCTGCACAACGCGTGTTGAGTCAAGCCCTGTGAAGTAAGCTCCCAGAAGTACCCGAGTGCATCCTGCACTCAGGTACCAAACACCAGTGTTCTTCTTTGTATCAGTTCAATTATTAAGAACTGCGATTGATATGACATTTTACAATGGCAATATGATATCAGCTAGAAAAAGAAAGAAGTGTTATTTTAGCTTAGAATGCATGTGCATTAAAATGCCACACCTGAAATTCTTCTTCTTGGCCATACTTATTAAAAAAAAAGACAAATGATCGGTTTTTCGAGTACTTTACGGAGGAAGTAGACAAAGTAGAATTGATTGTTACAAAGTAAACAGCAAAACCATTTCGACCCAAGACTCTAGTACACTCAGTTTGATGTGAGCAAGTCAAAGACCATCCTCAGTGTCCAAAAGCAATGTTTCATGTTGCGTTGATATTTTCTCTTCTTGTCTTTATTTTTTTCTTCAGTATTCTTTTTTTTTTTAGATTTGAGTGGTTGGCGCTTTGAATAAAGAGCTTCCTCTCCTCGGTGCTTGATTAGAAACACTGTTATAAGTAGTCGATGCAAAAGATTACATCGATGTGTTGCAGCAAAAAGAGAGGCAGCTGATAATTAATCAACGGCTAGTCAGTTTGACCTTGTTGTGTTGCAACACAAATGGGCTACATAGTTCATAGTGCTTAGAGATCTCTATTTTAGAAACGCATACGTGAGCGCAGTAATACAGTTATGTGCTTGCTGAACTTTCTTATTTTTAACTAATTGTTTGGGCACTAAAACGCAGCAATATTTACATAAATGATTATGTTTAAGGTTTACGGCGCAAGGATCTACCATTTATCCGAAGGGCGCCGATGCATGTTAAAGCACACGATGTCAAAGTAACTTACTGAAATTGTCTCCGCTAATGGTAAACGCACAACTGCAAGGTTAGGCCGCGGATCTATGTAATAATGGGAAACCTAGCCGGTTGGAAATCGAAGAAGCATCTGATAAAATGATAAAGCTAATGCCGTACAAAAATGCATGGGGACCTGATCAACGTGTCTTTGAAAGAGTGTCCAATATTGGTGAGTACTTTGTGTATGCTTAAAATTCGGCATGAGAGTCTTCAGATATGTCACGATGTACTTACCGGCCACAAGGAAAGCCAAGAGGAAGGTAGCGTATTTCGTCATCATGAAGTTCCTGCGTGAACGTAAGCTCAGTTCGCGACACTTTTAACAGAGTAGCATGTATACAAATCCGCGCCGGGAACAATATTCATAAGGTTCGATTGCACAATCTACGACCAAGCGCGGCCGGTGAATTAAAGATTGCGGACTCGTTGGTGTTTGGGTTACTTTTGCCTACGCCATTTCTGCCATGTGGACTGCAAGTATGACTTGAAGCACCATTATTCGAAGTGACTAGGGTACCTTCATGTGCGCTTTTCTTGGGGTGATGACATCTAGCCATTTTGTTTCGATCGCTTATCTTCATTTTTTGTTCCGTGAAAGAGCGTGCCCCTGCACGCGCTCATGGCACTGACTGTGCTGCGGCGACATTTTGTTTCCGGCGATTCCTTTGTATTTTTCCTGTGAGCGCGTGCTGTCGGCATCGGGTCCTACAAACGATGGCATCACCCTAAACAGAAGGCCATTGAGGCACACTAGAAGTGACCAGCAGAAGTCATGCAAATACGTGTTGGCTTTAAAGACATTAAGTATTTAGTAAACACATTAACAAGCAAATCAAGTACAAAAGTGGACTCTGTCGTGTTGAAGATAGCTAGAGCAAGGTGGACACTACACAACCAAATGGAATATTACCAAAAAATCTATATCTTAATTTTGGGCTTAATATAATATCTATACAATATAACAATAAAGGAACACGTATGTTGTAGGAGGAGGTGTATATTTTATTTTGCTTAGTTTGTAAAAAGGTTACGTCAGTTTAAAGATTACAAAATAGTATAATTGCTTTATTATTTTAGTGTTAAGCGCCCATAAAACCCGTATAATTATGTGTGTCCGCAATCTAGAAAAAAAAAACTCTTCATAGAATAGCCACTTGGGGATCTATTTGTTATCTGAGCGAAGAAAATGTCGAGTATCCTCACCTTTGATGCGGACTCTTGAGACGGTCGTCCTACTTCTGCTTAGCCGGAGCCACTAAAACTTGTTTAAATACATCACGGACAGACCGATTGAGTAGCGCGGGTTGCGCAACTTGGCCTGGGAAAATCCACCTGGAAGGCGATAATATTCGAAAGCATCTCTCTCTCTCTCTCTCTCTCTCTCTCTGTTGTATTGTTAGATTGCGTGTCTTCGGTAGACACAGCCATTTCGATATCTCGAGAAATATCCAAGATAGCTGTATCTGTTTTCTCTCTTCGTGGGTGCGGAGTGCGCGCACTGTCCAAACAGAAACACGTCGCGGCTTGGATGTTTTTTTTTTTTTTGTGTGTGTTTTTTCATAGGATTTTGTTTTCCTATTTACGAACGGGCATCTATGGTTGCCAACATGCTAAGAAAAGCAAGGCGAGACGACTTCAAAGCATCTTTTTAGTGCTCCGCTCCCAATCAAAACAATGCACCGGCCGTTAGAAAAAAAAATACCGAAGAAGAAATCGCGAAGCAAGAAACGTGAGCGCAATAGGTAAACTGAGGGTGAGCTCGGTTCAACTTTCATGTGTCTATTAAATTATTTTTTTTAAAAATAAGTATATTTGCAGCCTATTTTGAAATCTTCTAGGCATAAATCTATGAGAGCGTTTTGGTGTATAAAGCAGGAAGCCATAGATATACGTCTTTATTTTTTATATTGATGTTTTGAATGAGATAATCGAATTTTTTTGTTTACTGAAGATAACTTTCAAAACCAAAAAGGGGCACAAAAAAAAAAAAACGAATGAAATAAGTACAATTACTTTTTAATAAACTGAACCTCCACTCACCGTTTAAGTGAAGGAACGTTTTAGTGAAACTATGAAATATGGCTGGCTGTATTACATTTATAAGATAAAAGTTTATTTGAGTTATTTCCGGACACAACATCATATTTGGTTTTTCTTGTTTTATTTGTGTTGTACGCATGGTAACAGAAACAAAAATGTAGTCAACCGAAGGGGGTGAAAAGTATTTTGTAGTATTTCTATAGAAACACGACAGTACAACAAGATTTGTAACGTTTTGCCTAGAAATTAAATTCAGTTTCTTATGAAAGTATTTTTCTGCACATTTCACACCTTACATATTAATTATAGAGAGGCAAACATGCTGAATTCCCTGAGGCCTCCTCTTACATGTTGTAGTCTATCACCACTTCTTAGACTACGTCATTAACACACTTTCTGACCCTAAATGACTAAATCAGGAGAATAAACTTTAGAAATGCCCAATTATTTTAATATCCCGAATAAAATAATTTTATTGCTCTACTGCAAGTGATAATGGACAGGGCAAACAGCGCCAATAGTTTCTACATATGCTTCTTTACATGGCGTCTGTCAAGCACACTCCCAGATATCCTTTCCCCGTGACGCTTTCCGCACATCAGTGATTGGTCTTTCTTTCAGGAGTTCAGCCTATGGGAAGGGCGATTTTATCGTATTCAAAATGCCATGCATGCTCCCGGTAAAAAAAGGGTGGGTGCCATTTTTTCCTTGAGGCCTTTTGTCGTTTGGGGCGCGATATCGGCCCTTCTCATAGGCTCAACTGGTTAGATGTATAGCAGTGATTGGTCTTCCAAGTGCACGACAGTGAAATAAACTTGCGCCAGCGTCTGAGAATATTACTCAATGACCATGTCCTTCCACAAATTCATGACGTCGGTACCCTTGGTATTATCGTCAATGTATTTCTTTATTCGGAGCAGTTGGTCGCGAGAAAAATGATTCTTCCAGTCCCCAACCACACCCTTACGTACAAAGTCTCCTGTCATGGGCTTCGCGAGGAAATTCCGCAGGTTCTGCAGTCCTTTTTGAAGCTCGGGAGGAACCTTCTCCATTTCCTCCGGCGAAACGTCTGCTCCTGGGGTCGACTTAAAGTTGGCGTCGACCGTCTTCTTCATACCTTCGAGCGAAACCATCTTCAAAACCTTCTCGACAAGACCGTCGTCTCCCCGAAGCTTGCTACCGTAATCCTCACCAAGGAAGTCTGCAATCCTGTGCAGCCAGCTCCTGGTGTCTTTCTTAAGGTCCTCGTACGTTAAGAAGAGGACGTTCGCGTCGTCCTTGTGGTCATACCAAGACAACAGATGCTCGAAGTAATCGCCGAAATCCACTTTCCTGGCAAGAAACATGTCGAGGAACTCGTCAAACGTACCATCTTGGAAATGGTACATTGGAAAGTGTTTCGTGTGGTGGTAAAACGAGACGCAGCAGTCGAATGGGTTACGCGTTATGTAGATGTACTTTGCGTCTTCAGAGTAGGGGTGCTTGTCAAAGGGAAGATGCGTCTTGAGCGCGCCAGGCTTCAACCCGTGCCTGGCGGCATCGGCACCCTGAAGCTCCAGGAACGGCATTCGGAAGACGGGGTCCAGCTTGTTCAGGGGAGGACTGCCGTCCATGAGGATGTTGTAGACGATGTGCTGCATCCACGTCGTGCCGCACTTGGGGTAGCTGACGATAAAGATGTCTCCGGGCTGCGGTTGGTAAGCCATCACCGACAGCACCGCGTCTTCTGGGAAATGCTTTCCGACAAAGACGCCGTTTACATCCCTGTAGATGTCGGCAGACATGGTCAACTGTGCGGAATCTGTAACACATTTGTATTACATCTTTGGTCAAAGTTAATCTTCACTCATTCACGAATATGAACTCTCTTTCATCAATGCCAGCAAAGGTTAGAAGCTGGAGCTATTTGCTTATGAAGACGTTTCGACAACGTGGGAGCTCTGGGATTACGGTTCCTTGTCAAATCTACAAGTTCGCCCTAGTTCCAACGTATTATGAGAAACGAAACATTCGTAGAGGAAAGCTGAAGAGGTTGTCAATAGCGAGAACGCTGCTAGAGTTTCGACGCCGGCAGCTTGAAATATGTGTGGGACAAGCTTCACATAGACCAATTTCACCAAGCGTTCGGCGCATGCGTGACGTCGCCATAACTGAAGTCGCTTTATACCCCATTCACACGACCAGCACAAAGGTACCTTCAACATAGGTCCCTTTCCAATCGGCGAATCACCTCGCGCTGATAAATCGCGAGCACATGCTACGCGCGGAGGATCGCGAACTGATTCGCCGCTGGCCATAAAAAGGTCCCTTAGCTAAAGGGACCTTTATGATCGTGTGAATGGGGTATAGGGAGTATTCACTGGCGGCCATAGCTGTGTGCGCGACTGCTGAGCGCGTGCTGATGGCGAGCTTCTACAGTTCTTTTGCAACGTGCATTCCGCACCATCAAGAGTGCCGGTCTTAGCAGCCTACTGATGTGAGCTCGTTCTGAGCATGCGCTGTAAACAGCATGCACAAATATGGCGTCCAGTGAATACTCCCTATAAGTTTGCAGAAGGCAGGCGGCAGTGCATCAGGACGGCTCGTGCCATCTTCGGGCTCTGCATGCGCTAGGATCCAGCAAGATTGACGCATGCGTGCAGAAAGACTAAAAGTTCCCTCGATGGATTGCGGTAGCGGTGGCGTAGCCAAACTGACTGGTGAGATAGGTCTATTGGATCTTGTGACATGAATTTCGCTTCTCTTTAATACGTGTAGCTTTATATTTTTCATTTCTTCAGATTTCAAGGTTTAAACAAAAGACGTTCTAACGCGCGATACAGTATGGTTCTCATGCTGAAGGTTTCTTGAAATTTTATCGTAAACGTGGCAAAAAAAGTGCTTGCCCCGCGGCGGCTTCTTGTCAATTGGACGACGACAAGGGATACAAATAAACACTGTCGGGTTGTCTATTTTGCACGGACGTGAGTACCCAGCGTTTTGGGCAGTGAAACTGTTTGTCATGAGAAAAGAGAGAACGAACGCCAGGTTGAGGTGACCGTAATGTTTTTCCCATCACGGAAACCCCAGCTGTGAAATAGATAACTCTGTATGAGCAAAACAGTGACTGGCCGTCGCCCAAGAAGCTTATCGTCCTATCTTGCTATTTTGTTTTGACTCATATTTTTGGCTATGGAAATATCTATGGTGCTTTTCCGATATGAGTACTAGGTCTTCTCACACAATCCGGAGAGTGTATATACAAACGTCAATAAAAATATTAACTGCAAAACATTCTTTATTTTTTCAGGAGCAACTAGTGGGAGCTGTCCTTTGATGCAAACATTGTAATAATTAATGAATCAAACTGTCAAAGGGCAATTAAAAGAGCCCTTAGAAGATGTCTGCGATTGCCTAAGTATAGTGATAACTCACTGTGCTGGTTTTAAGCATCCTAAAAAAAAAAATTCGAAATCATGACGATACGCGGTCAGTTTCCCTGTTAAAAGACCAATCATATATCGCAACACACCAAGGTCATTTCCGGCGATGAGAGGAGCATGTTCCAAACCAGGAGAAAAACACAATGCGCTCTTTTGGAGACGATTATTGCAGTATTATGCTCCCTCTCCGCGAAAAATTATTTTTCAAACTACTCTTACTTGCTTTTATGATCTACAAAAGCAAAGACATTTTGGAATAGCAGCGTTTGCCATCTCAACGAAATGTCGCGTTTTCATTGGTCACATGGGGTCCCATGGCTGCCAGAACAATGCTTCTCCCATCATCGGAGATGTTCTCGCTATCTTACGATTTTTTTTTTTAATAGGGAAATCGGTTGCGCATCGTTATGATTTATGAATTTCTAGGATGCTTAGAGCCCTCAGAGGTGGGTCATCGCCACATATAGGCGACCTCAGAAACCTCTTCAGGGCACGTTTAAGACGATGTAAGTTTACCAGGACGATACTACCTGAGGTTGGGACGGAAGTGTGAAAATATTTTCTATTCTGTAGACTTTTCCTTTTCTTCCGTCCTGTAGCGTCAGGTTTTTCCATCATGATAAATGTGTTTCTATAGTCGGTTGCAAGCTAAGAAAAAACCGGAAATGCCTCTCAGAGGAAAATGTAATCCTCCGCCGAGAAACGCCAGCCAATCGTTTTCATGACGTCACGATTCCGTGGACCAATCGCGATCCTTTTGAAAAAAAAAAAAAAAAAAAAAAGCTCAACATGGCTGCTGGCCTTAGCAACGCGACGCCAGTTTCTCGTGACAATTATTCTGCTTTTTTGCACCGTGTTTTACGTGCCCGAGGTTACGCCACGAAATCTTAATGGTATCGGCTTGCGTTTGCAGCAGTTTTTGCGCGACAACGTGAGAATCCAGCGACGCTATCGCCAACGAAAATTTCGAAGCGGGCGCGAAACTTAGCACTGCTGAGAGGTATGTTAGACGGTATGTTAGACAGTATCTTGGACAGAAAATGAATTGGGAAGACGGTACATTGGACATGACTTTCTTTCTTTACTAAACAGCTATTTCGTTGACAAAAACGTATTCTAACCTATTTAAATGTCCTGAATGAATTAAATAAATATTGTAGTAGTTTAAGACACGTTTCCTGGAGGAAGAAAAAGCAACGTTGCTAGCGAACTACTTTCTCGACAGCGGAGGCACTTCAGATGGGCGCAATGCGCTTGTGGGTGGAGCTAAAAGATTGTTCTTAGCTTGCAACCGACTATAGTAGACATTTTGTTATTAGGAAGGAGATCCAACCCTCGTGCTCGTATATTGGCAAAATTGAGAGCGACGCATGATCGGGGCAACAACAGCTTAGATGATTTGTTTGTGTTTTGACGCAGGGCTCGGACCGCGTATCCGAACGATGTATCTTTTGGCTAGAGCTCGATGTTTTTAATTTGAAGCCGAAAGTTCACAATGTTTACGTGGCCTAAGCAGGGAGTATTAGTAGATCGTTCTGACGACCCCGATAACGATACCCGATTTCCGCCGACGCCTTTGCGCAAGCATATCGTTTGGTTACATTAAGGTCCCCGTATACTTAGGTTACATAGGGTATCGTTATTAGAGGTGTCGGAACGAACAACTAAAACTCTTTATAGTTTCGATAACGACGTCCCATCTTACTGCCACCTGTACTCATTTTCACCTCCCGAGCTGTAGTAAAAAAAAAAATTAAGGTTTCTCGCGGAGCATTACTAATTTCCCTCCTTATGCTGAGAATCGAGATATGTGTAAGTGCGTTTTAGATTAGATATGCGTTACCTTATCAAGACGTACATGTTTCAAACGCCAAAAGCATCGCTTTTTCCTCCCACAGCCAAATCTCGAAAGAACTACTTCGCACGGCGTATGAACATTGAGCAAGACTTTCTCTTTTCTTGAGGTGAAAACGGGTATAGAGCCACTAAATGGCGGAGCGGAAGTTCGTCTGCTTCTTTTGCAGGGGGTTGTGGTGACGTTAGAACGCCAACCTCTGATTGGCTCCGATTGGAAGGATAGGAGGTAGACATCAAGGCAGCTAGCCATTGCGGTCGTCCAACTATCCTTCTAACCGGAGCCAATAGACCCTTTCCGGAATTCAGTGCCATCTGGTGACTCGAATGGCGGTTAATCTTTTACTATACTAATGGCGGCAATGAACCTGTGGTCTGCAGTATTTAATGGGGCACCATCACTTAAAGGTCAACGGTAAACGAAAATGTGCACTTCACTACAATTATTTTCAGTCTCTTTTAGTGTCAATGGCGAAACATAAGCAGCCAGTCGCAACGAAGCGCCAACCCACATAGACGCCTTGGTAGAGTTCTATACATCAAGGGGCTTTGAGGCCGAGTGAGTGCTACAAACAGATTGACTGGGACCGAGTTAGAAATGAACACTTACGCAGCGCTTGCATCCAATTCCTGATTCGCGTCACGCTAACGCCAAGAATGTATAGGCCTCGAATCATCTGCCTAGGAGCATCTTCAACTTCTTCCTACATCAGTAAACAGAAGGCCGCCATTAGTATAGCACATATTCCGTTTTCAGATGATGATGATAGTGATCAACGTGGCCAGACTGAATTCCGGAAAGGGTCTAATAGAGCTCGGCTTTCTGACGTCACCACAAGCCCCCGCAAAAAGAGGAAGACGAACTTGAGCTTTGCATTAGCTTATTTAGTGGCACTACTGCAACCAGACCGCAGTTTTTACCGACCGCCTTTTTCGTTGGCTGGACGAAATGGACGAGGACAAGTGATTGGTTGTTTCGCGTGCATCTACGAGGGGGCATTATACAGTGAGGAGCTTCCAAGAGTGCGTGATTTTACGAGCTTACGTTGTCCTGCGATTCCCAGACTTCTAACGAAACACAACCGACTGTACCGACCAGAGTGGCAGAAGCGGGTCTTTTATTCAGCGTCTTCGCTTTTAATACCATACAGTGTACTGATGCCCCCCCGCCCCCCCCCCCCCCCCCCCCCCCATAAATTAAACCCTTATCTGGGTTCTCATAAGCCTTACAAATCTCCACAATGAGATGAAACGAAACAAAAGTATATTTCAGTCGGATTTTTGTTTTTACGGTACAGAAGACATGTTTTTTTTTTCGTTGCACTGAGTGCCTTCAAAAAAAACGATAAAAAGACAAAAAAATGTGTTTTTTTTTGTTATATCTCCACGGCCTAGAGTATACAAGCAATAGTGCGACTATTTTAGTTTGCCATGAACTGATATCGTTGGAACTTTCTATGTCTTATCAGTAATCTCCAGAACGAGGACTCGTAAAGCACACCGAACTG